ATATGTATATATATAATAGTAGTAATAATAATAATAATAATAATGAGAAGTGTTTACTATTTTCACTCAAATGCGGCCTTTTTATAAATAATTTAACTATTTATTTATAAGAGTTAAATATGTTTTTAATCCTCCAAAAGATTGACCTAATTTGTGTTTACCCCTCAATAAATTTTTTTTTGTCTTTAATCCCTCAAATTAACAAAAGACCTCTTTTAAATCTTTTATTAAACTATTAATTTTTTTTGTTAAGAATAAGGCACATTAACATTTTAGTCACCATTAATTTTATTTTTTGTGGCCATTCTCATCATTTTTTATGTCAGATTAATTTTTAATTTTTTTTAAAGTAAAAAAATAAGTGTTCCGGTATGCCTAAAAAAGTCTCACGATTGCTTAGGAGTCGAGGCTAAGGGTAGTTTATAAACACCTCCCTCCTTAACCCATCAAGGCGTCTTTTAAAGGACAAAATCGTGACGGCCTAATGAGCACCAAAGCGGATAATACCTCGGATGCGGTGACCCTAACAATGACAGTGGACTTACGGAAGGAACATTTGGCGCTAGAAGGAGGGCCTAGGCCACTCTTGCCCCTTAGCATCGACTGGGGGGCTTGTTTTGGTATGCCTAAAAAAGTCTCACATCGCTTAGGAGTCGAGGCTAAGGATAGTTTATAAACACCCTTCCTTCTTAACCTACCGAGGCGCCTTTTAAAAGAACAAAATCGTGAAGGTCCAACGAGTGTCAAAGCGGACAATACATCGGATCCAGGTAACCTTAACAATGACAGTGAACTTACGGTAGAAACAATAAGAAATTGTAAAAGGCATCCCTTCATTTTGTTAGCTTCTTAAACTTCAACATATAATCATTCCATCATATCATAAAACTCGATTCAAGATTGGAACTTTATCTTTCACACTCTCAGGAATAGAGTTTTCCAACAAATAGTCTAACTAAAAAAAGGGTTCAATTTCAAAGAATTTTTTTTTTAATTATTTTTAATGTTTGTCAGTAGAATCTGCATAATTTATTTTTTGTAATACTATTGGAATAGTTTTTACAAAAAAAAAAATTGTAGTTTGTTTCTTTTGTTACTTTCAACTTCTTGAAGAATAAAAAAAAAATCCTAAAACTCAATCATTCCACATTCACAGGAAAGACATTCTTCCTAAAACTTGAAATGTCATGTTGTGGTTTCTCTCTCTCTCTCTCTCTTTTTCAAATCTATTTCTATTTTCGGTTCTCATTTTCGTTCCCTTACCCATTGTACGTTTCCCTTCGAAGCACATAAAAGATATAGTCATTGAGTTCAAGAGTTCCGTGATTTGAATTCATGTTAAGTTGGATTTCTTTATTTTTTTTAATCCTCTAATTATTTAGGTTGTGATTTTTTTTTCAGAGGTTGCATATTTTTTTGAATTGCAACTGTAATTATTTTTTGAGGGAGTTGAATTAAGGCTAAATTTAGAGGTATAATTTTTTTCTTTTTTCAATGGCATTCTCAACCTCTTTTGTGCTTTAAAGGATTATTGTTTTGATAAAGATAAATGTATGTGTTTATTGGTAATTGTGTTTCTACTGAGCTAATAATTGCATGGTAGTAAGTTGATGGATATATGAAGTTCAAACTTTATATGGATAGTTTTAGAAGCTAATCTAAATTGTAACACGACAAGATTTAATCAATGTTTTTTTTGCTTGCTATTATGCTTAATTGTATGTGTGGGGAATGTGTTGTTGTTGGGATATATGTGCTCGCATTAGGATTAGATTGAGTTAGTTATGTAGCTGGATTGCAGGATGCTGATGTAATATGAATCAAGACCACTTCTTGTGTAATCTTGGCAATTCTTAATAAAATTATTGTCTTAAAAAAAACTAAATAATTCTCACCAACTCCAATCGTTTTCAATTTGGTAAAGTTTTCTCTTCACTTCCCTTTGTTCTTGTAATCAAGATTAATAGTAGCCTGGTGGAAGGGAGACAACTTTCAAGTCTCAGTACGTGACTATGCCAACAAATTGTGTAGATTTTCCTTTACAAGGGTCATCATGTCCATGTTAGTGGTAGATACCTAATTAACACATGTTCATTTGTGATATTTTTCCTGAAAGTCTTCACAGTCTCAAAACCTTCCAGAATTTCTTTTCCCTGGAACATAGTGTGAATGCAAGCCTACATTATCTAATCACTATATTAACACAATGATTTTATTTTTGAGCCATTCTAAAATTTAGCCTAAACTTCCAAACTAGAAGAATAACATCCTTCAATGCTAAAAAGAAAAAGAAAGTTTACATTCAAGGTTATAGCATCCTTTTTTTAGCAAGTCAAGTTTACAATTTACATTCTGTCAAAAGAAATTAGTATAGGTAATAGGTTGATCAGTTGATAAGCAGTATGGTGCAGTCCTTCATTTTCTTTTATGACAATTGTTCTTTTATGTTATAAGTGCTTATAGAAAAAAAAATAAGTAACGTTGTATTTACCTTCTTTAAACCAACTCAATTGAAACTAATGAAGGACTTATAAAATCTTCTCACCCCTGATGAAATTTTCTTAGACAAAGACAATATGCTTGTCTTCTATCATGTATGCAATTACATAATTATTGCAATAAATTTTTTTTAAGGAGATATGGGTTTAGGAGATAAGAATTACTGCCCCACCAAGTGATTCCACCAAGTGATTGCTTTCCATATAATGATTGAGATAAAATCAAACTAATATCAGTTAATATGATGCATATATATATATATATATATAT